GCTTCACGCAGGCATATTTATCATGAAGCGCTAACGCGCTTCATGAAATATGCCGGCGTGAAGCGTCGTAGTTCATGTCCTCATGAATCTTCAAAAATTAAACTCATTTCTTAGATATCATATAAAGGAATTCATATAGTAATACACTCTATATTAAAAAAACTACTTTTTTATCTTTTGGGAATATATTTTGACATGTACTTTGAAATTATATTTTCTTAATTATCTTTAGGTACATGTAAAAAAAAAAGTGTTCGGTTTCCGTCGAGCTGTGCACCACTCTCTCTCTCTCTCTCTCTCTCCATACATGTAAACGCTTTTTCCTGGGAGACATTTTTTCTGATATATATTACTAGTATTATTTAATTCAGAAAATATTTTAGCTAATTACTACAGTTTTTAATTGCTGCCAAGGGTGTAAAAGTTGCCATTTCTAAATCTTGTGAATTGTTATATAGTTACCTACAACTCTGGTAGCACTGCCCGGTATAGGCCGCTGCTTTTTGAACAGACATCGAAGCAGTAGCACAATGATTGCTAGCACAATTATCAGCAAGCACAGCACAATTACTGTTACAACAAACGCCGACATGAACTCTAATTTTATTCCCAGGTGTAGATCATCAGAGTTGGAGTTAAAGCAATTAAGAGGCCTGTTCACATCATGGCTCTAAACGTACATTTTTAAATTGTTTTGACATACGTCAAACAGGCGTTATTCTCCGCTTTATGACGTATTTCTAAATCAATGTTGCCAACGTTTGGCGGGAAAATAAAATAGCAATGAAAACTGTATGCACCATTTTGCTTTTGCTCAAAAATGAAATTCATTTTTTAAATATTTACATTTCCAAATATTTTTCCTTTAGATTCTTTGCAAATATTAGAAGACTGTTCATTTTCTCATGAACTGGCATGGATGAGCATGAATATCTCCATTGTTACGTCATAATACCACACTCGACGTCAAAACTATAGTGCAAACGGTTTTGCTTTAAAAAATGAAGATGAATAGCGTAATTTATGGTGACTCATCAGAAAAATAATGTAAATATAAGAAATGAATTTAATTTTGAAAATTTATGAGGTACATGAACTACAACGCTTCACGCCGGCATATTTGTCATGAAGCGCTAACGCACTTCATGAAATATGCCGTCGTGAAGCGACGTAGTTCATGTCCTCATGAATCTTCAAAAATTAAATTCATTTCTTAAATAAATTTCATTTTTGAAGATTCATGAGAACATGAACTACGACGCTTCACGCGTTAGCTAACGCGCTTCATGAAATATGCCGGCGTGAAGCGTCGTAGTTCATGTCCTTATGAATCTTCAAAAATTAAATTCATTTCTCAAATGAACTGTATTCTATTTTGTAAAGAATCATAGAGGACATTTAATGGAAATGTAAATATTTCATAATATACATGTAACATCGAGAAGGTCGCTACATGTACATATGGTCCTTCCAATCAATTAAATACAGTCATGCAATTGTATATTTTTTAAACTGCTGTGATGGTATTTCATGCTTTCCGTAAGAAGATGATCCAGGAGCTTCTGGGGGCTTCGTCCCCTGAGCCCCCACCAGGGCTTCGCCCTGGACCTACTGGCGGGCTCAAAGTGGCCCCCAGACCCCCTGCGCCCCCCCCCCCACTTCAATTCCTGGATCCGCGCCTGAGACACATACATTTAAATTTTAAAAAAAGAAAGAAATGGATTTCATTATTTTATTTAAATCACTTAAAAAACCTCAATTACTCATTTGTTGTTGTAAAGTTGCGATCTTGGAGGCAGAGAGGGAGGGTTGTATTCAAAAGGAGGCGGAACATGACCTGGAAGTAAAGCGACCTCTGGTGGAACATTATCCTTACACACACTAGCTCCCTCTGGTGTTCCCATTACTTGTTCGTATCTTGGCGGTTCTGTCGATGGTAGAGGGTGTCCTTGTGGTGGATAATGCGTGGTAGTTTTTTGCGCAAAGGGGGCAGATGGGAGTGCTTGATGTTGCCCAATGTTTGGTCGCGTTGTATTGTCTACTGTTGGAGTACCTGTGTGCGGTACGGCGCTCCCGTGTGAAGAATAGTATGACGGGTGATGTTGGTATGATTGTCCAGAATGTTGTGGATTAGAAATAAACACCTGTCCCTGTGCAGCCCGGCCCCCCATCACCGCTCCCTGTGGGGCCACGATGTGCCGTTGTGGATACACGGTTGTAGGGTGAGGTTTATTATGAACAGAGACTCCAGTCACACCTGCATTATGGTTGTAAAAGTTAAACACTTATTTGACTATAATCAATATTATCAAGCAGTAATATTTTCGAAATCCAGAATGATGTTCACCATTTTCTTACCCATAATTCCTCCAGGCGTTGGTTGTTTTTTGCATAAACATCGAATCACGGATAATGTGATACAAATTACAAAAAACAGCGAACCAAGTACGACAGAGGCTACTACAAATCCTGGAAGAGTCTCTTCACCATCACTCCAACAGCAATACTCATTTGGCAAAGATCCACAGCATATCTGATCTTGGTCGCAATATATTCCACTACTGTATGAAGTCCAGCAATAAGCCTTAGAATGCATTTTATAACTGATGGTTGTTTTTTTTGTTTGTGCGTGACGTCATAGACGCACGCTAACGTTAATAATTTTAGCGGTTTTTAGGGGGAAAATCATAAAATTTCAACAAAAACCATTGAAAAGAGCTATGAAAGCGGAATGAACTATTTTTTTTACCCGAATTTTCTTGATTCAGTATAGATTTTGAATGAAGCCAAAACTATATTTTATTTGATAAATATTATGGCAGTTATTTTATTAATAAAGCCAAATGCTTAGTATATTTTTTTACAATATGTGTTCCATTCTTAAAGAAAAAATAATCAAAGAAACACTTACACGATCCATCATCAATAAATACAATTATACTTTACAATACAATGAATTATACATGTTTCAGAAGAGAAACACAGAGTGCAAACACATACACCTGCATACATACAAAATCTTAATGAAATTAATAATATGAAAAATAGATTAACAATTTACAAAGATTAAAAAAACTTAACTTACAGCATTAAAAAAAATATACCCTGTGAATATACAGTATACATTAAATGCAAACAAACACTAGATATTTTTCTATGACACTATGACAGTATTCACTTAAGGAATAAATTTACCCGATTTATACAGTATTGCCTGGTTTGAGGCAGTGTAAGCTTTATAAACCAAATAGATATAATAAAAGTAATATTTTTTATCGAATCAAATGGCGTGTTACAACCAGAATATAAATCATTATCTCAAAAATTCATTTGTGGAAAAATTAATGTTTTGCCCTGTGTAGAGAAATCATTATTATCTCAAAAATTCATTTGTGGAGAAATTAATGTTTTGCCCTGTGTATGCTACATTTAGGACTGGCCTGTGATAGACATTAAATTCACTGAGCTGGGATGCATCAGTGATATTCAAATAATTCTTCAGTTTCTTAAATATAGGAACAGATAAACTTATAAAAATTGACGTCTGGTTAAGAATCACCCCTTTTCGTCTTCTCCGGTAGTAAATTTATTTATCCTGAGAATTTCCTTCTCCAAGACTTCAGAGTCCAGTGACGTCATTGATCCAGCTTCTGATGGCGGGGCGTGAAACCACGAGAATGCGGGACGCCGTACATCGACGTCCGCTTTCACTTCACTATTCCTGGGTAACATTGTTTGCTTTTCTGATTTTGCTATAATTTCATTCTCTGTTTCACATTTTGAATCTGAATCAATAGCGAAAGGCACCGTGCATTCCGAATGAAAACCGGAATCGTAGCTGTCCATATGTTGGTAGCACGGTTCACAACGCGGAAGCGTCGTCATTGTTTCGTACTCGACAATAAATGGAACACAGACTTCCTGGCACATTCTTTTCTGTGTTTCTTCAGTTATCAAAATTTTCTTTGGAGTTGTATCTTTAAGGCCGCTTCTTATATCACAGTCTTCAAATTCCTTTTCGGAGCCTTAAATCAAATCAAAATATTAATTTTTAATTTTCAGTTATATGTAATGACAATGAAATTAATTTTAAGACTTAAGTTTCAATCCAGTTTTCCATTTTTATGATTTTCTCTTTAGTGCGACCTTTGAAAAAAAAAATAAAATAAAATATCTTTTAAACATGATACATACATGTTTAAAGTTTTTACAATATAGGTAACGTGCAGTTTCTTTTATAGCATTATAAAACTGAAGAAACAAATACCTGGACTCGCTAAACAGGCGGAATCTTGTTTTTTACCGAGAATTCTTATCTTCATCCACACTTTTTTTCCTATAAGGTAGATAATTAAATATATTATATAATTATTATAATATCTTGTATTACATAATAAGCATTAATTGATTAATTCTATACAAGTTGAACTATTGTACAGTATTCGGACTATGCACTTCTTCTCTTTTGTGATTGGTATAAAATGCATGATGTGAAAATCTTCGATTATTTCAAAGGTTGAAATGCTGTTCAAGGCAAGGAAGATAATATTCTTGTGATCTAATTTTCGTGCAACTTTACAATTTTTCAAGATTTAATTTCAATCTTTAAAAAAATCGACCGCGAAAAGAACAAAAGAAAATTGAAAATGAAACTGATACTTTGAATTTTTATAGAATAAGCAATTATTAAAAAGAGTTTCTATATTTTCAAGGTAAAGAGAAGTGTTCTTTTTGCATGCAAACATCAAAATTATTGCTTCTTTTTTTCTTTGTTTTGCACTGATTTGCAGATGGCAGAGGCATTCTCTGTAAAGAGTTGTCGTTGCCGCTCCGGAGCGTAGCGGAAAACAACTCTGGATTGAGAATGATGGTAAAGCAATTGTCTGGAAATAAAGATCCAAAAACTACCCTAGAATAATACGGCCTTATAGGTGTATATCAGGCCAAAATAAAATATACTTTTGTTTCCCCTAATTTAACGCGACCGACCCAATTAAATCCGGCCGACTGAAAAGTTTTTTTAAGAAGATTATTCATTTTTTTTTTTTTAAAGTTTATCAACTTTTATAAAATACAATTTCATCAAAACCTGTTCTTATCAGAAAATAAGAATGTATTTTCAAAGCTGCTGTCAGGAAAAAAAATTTACCTACCTACCTAGTACCCAACTTCAGATTTTAGGGTCGGGTTAGGGGAAACAAAGATATTTTTAATGATGGCCTCAGGTTACTGTCTAAGGTTGTTGCTAGGGACGGCAAAGCTTTTTGGAAAGAAACTATACTTTTTTTGTCACTAACCTTTGAACTTTAGGAACACCGGAATTCCTACAAAGACGATAAATGACAAAATAATAGCTAGGATGATAAATGGAATATTTCCGACTCCTTTTGTCGTAGATGTCTCTTCGTTCCTTAAAGTTCTGAGGCTCTGGGTACTCAGGACATCTCTGGGAATGTTTGGAGCTATGACTTGAACAAAAAAGTTGTATACGCCTTAACATTTCCCAAGGATATAAGTGACGGACATCCTAACAAGTTTTTTGGGGAAATTAAAATAATAGAATTGGAGGTAAAGAAAACTAAAATAAGTAAAATGTGGCTTACATTTTGGAATGAAAATGGAAATGTTGCCCCTGATGACCTTGTCAGTGAGGTCAGGGTTGAAGGACTTCGGTAGACTCGTGACGTAAACACGCAGTGTCACGGCTTCTGAGAAGGGGTTGCTATGGTGACACGTCATATGGTAGGTTATCCTCTATAAAAGAGGAAAGAAAATATTTTTAAAAGAATTGCTATCGAATAATTTTTCAAACTGAGAATAATCTTTGTCTTAATATCACGTCTTAATCTTTTGAATCAAAGCGATTTTTTTTCTTGAAGTATCAAATTACTTAGAATTAGTTCCTAGAGCTTTTCGTTTACACCAGCTAGGACGGATTTTATGAAGCGAGAGCACACCTACCTTTAATTTACTTTTTTTTTTTTTTTTGCCTCAAAAAATTTCAAAGTACCCTTATATAAAAAAGATTGCAAAATGGTATATTTTGATCGCTTTAAAGTCATATGTAGCATTACAACCCATAAGAAATATTGAGTACACTTATTTGTCAATAAATAAAAAAAAAATTGGACAGTACCACTCATTAAAATAAGAGGAAATATCCTATCCAGAACGGAATGGTCAAGTGAATAAAGCTTCAAAGCTTCGCAAAATTACATCTGAAATTTTTGTTCATGTTTGATGCTGATTAAAGCTGCTGTTTTTTTTTTCCTGAATTCTTTAAGAAAAACTAACCATACATGTACATGTAAAGATTATCATATGTACTGTTATTTGTCCTACCGTGGCATTGGGTTTCTGGAAAACTAAATCATTTCCTCGAAGATCCATAACATATTCGTGAAAGATATCTCCATCTTCGAATTCGATTTGAAATCCCTGCAGATCTCGAACGGAAGCTATTGCGAAACAATAAAAGTCAACATTTAATGTAAAATTATTAACATCATTGATGAAACACTCCGAGATTATTGTGAATATTGGACACATTTCTTTAAATAACCTTGTTACCTTTCCTGTATAAATATTGATGTAGAAAATTCCCATTCTTTCATGTTAATGTAATAAAATCCGAACAGTCTGTCTGGGTATTGATTTAAGTGCATGTGCACTCACTGTCTATTTTATGTCAGTTAAACCCAATTTAAGAAATGAATTTAATTTTTGAAAATTGATGAGAACATGAATTACGAATTCACGATTCATGATAAATATGCAGGCGTAAAACGTTATAGTTATGTACCTCAAGGATTTTCAAAAATTAAATTCATGTCCTATATCTTTACATAATTTATCTAATGACTAGCCACAAAATATGTCATTGAAATATCATTTTTGATAAGTTAACGGTTTATATATCTTGTTCTGTAGGAGAGAGAGGAGTCTCTATAAAGCTAGCAATATGAAAATGTTCAAATATCTAGTCGATCCAGAAATATTCCTGATAAATATAATTATAGAATTTGGTCTTACAATCGTCCGGGCCTCTCCACTGAAGTGTAAAATCAGTAACGTCGCCATTTCGATGGACAGTAGATTGTAGCGTTGTCGGCTCGGAGGGTCCGAAGCCCTCCGTCCACTCCCACTGCACTGGCAATAACAAACAAGTACGTACACCAAACATAAAAAATGAAAGAAAGCTTCATTATCAAGTCTTGAAAAGAGCTTTTAAATTGATTGTTCCCTTTCATAATTGAAATTTTAAATACACATGTATAAATTTATCATAAAAAGCATTTCTAAGCACACCAACATCAAAGTACGTATACGAGAATTGACTTTCTTACTAAAGTTATACTTTTGTTTCAGTTTAGTTGTGTCTCTACCCGAGTTATTCAGTTAAAATGAATTTGAAGCAACTAAGAGCTAAATAGCTAAAAGGTTTAAAAAGTTTCAAGTATATTTTCTACTATCTATCTCCTATACGCGTTATATACCTATACTGAATTTCGTAACTGTTTTTTTCTGTAATTAGCCCCACCTACTTTCTTCTTCTTCCATTTCGTCCAAGTACTTTGTTCTGCATTTCAGATCATTCTATAATGAAATTAAGAGAAATGTTGATTTTAAGTAAAAACTGGGATGAATAGAGTATATATCGTATAAAATCATGGTGGATCAAAGCTCTTCTAAAATATGCAATATTTTCTTGGGAAAACTGTTCATCAGTTTAAGCATATTAAACTGGATTTTTTAGTCCAAATACACAGAAATTTGTTAAATTAAAACACTTTTTTCATTAAAATTCAAAGAGAATTTAACTGATTTAATGATTATATTTGGACTACAATCCCTTAAACAAACTTAAAAATAAATCGCCGCTACAGAAATACATTGTATTTTAAAATTCTAGTAGAAAAGATTATCCTCCCCACCACCACCCCCATATGTTTCATAATATTCCGGAAAGATGCATACTATAGTACTTAATTTCTAATATACCTGTTTCTGATCCATTATCAAAAAAAAAAAAAAAAAAAAAAAAAAAAAAAAAAAAAACACAGAATAAAACCCTGTTATTAACACTGTTAAATAAATACTCAAAGAAAGAACAAGATTAAAAACAATAAACAACTCAAACATTAATATGCTATAGGCATTATCGAATTTTATCAGATAAGATATGGGTTCCTAAACCTTACCAATGCTGTCTTTCGTGTGAGTATTTAAAACGCATACATGGTGAAATACAGCATACTCTAATTTAAATGATGTTGCCTTTATGAGAAATTGCGTTTAATCATTCTCTTTGTATATTTACAATAAAACGGGGTTCAGGCATTTTTGAATTATATAGGTGATTCCCCAAGAATACATACAGGACCTGTCAATTGTCAAATAATCAAAGAAAAAGATTGACGACTATCTATATTGTCAAAAGATACACAGAAACCATCAGAAAGTCACTCTAAGAAATAAATTTAAATTTGTAGATAATTTCTTTATATAGTAATTTATTTACAAGAATTTAAAGACCTGAACCTAGACATCTACAGTATAAACAATCTATGTTAATAAATTTACTACAACAAATAAATGAAAATGGATGACATCACCAATTCGTAGAAAATTATAAACTTCGATAATTATCAATACCAGTGACTGCTTTTGAAAAATGTATGTAAATTTAGAAATTGAGAAGCCGGTCTATTTTGAATTGTCACAAATGACAGGGCTGCCATATCTGTGTCTTATCTCAATGGTAACGTAGAAATGAACTTACTCCTGGAGTACAGTCCGCTCCCAGGGTACAACCAAAGCGGGTCCGGAACCCCACGCTGTTGGTCACAGGGAAAATAAACGTCCACATAAACACTAGACCCAGCATACTCAGCAAAAACTCGGCGTCATGTCACCAGACGGAAACTCTCCAAACTTCACCTTCAACATAGCTTCGGACACATAGATTTGTAAATCGCTGTCCGCTATTTTTATTCACTGCGACAGATAACGAAAATCTACCTGTATTCCAAAAAAAAAGGTCGGGTTCAGTCAATAGTTTTAATCAAGTTACATTGCATCGTGACATGATGTTGGTTAAATCGCAATTTCATCCTGGATTTGAGACTGCTTTTGAGACATTCTCTCAAATCAATCCCCCGAGCTTACAGAAGCCATCTGTAGACTTAATCAAACCTTCCAGTGTGGCATTTAGCACTTAGGAAATTCACGCAGAATTCAAAAATATCAAAATACATAGAAAGTCCCTGATTGTTTGATATGACTTAAAGTAAAATTTATGTCTTCTCAGTTAACTGCAGACTTTTCTGTATATCGTTATTTCATTTTTCTTACCCATTAATTTGTGTTTAATGTAAACAATTAATAAAAGGCTTTTGAGTTCATTAGTAAATGCGGGGATAACGGTTGGTACCTTGCAGAAAAAATACAAAACCGGCGTAACAGTTAATATAATACCTTATTTAAATTAACAAGCAAAGATATTTTATTGTTTATACTTATCTCTTTTTTAAATTATTCGAATAAAGTTGGAGAAAGTACGTAAAATACCTGGTATTGTACCATTGGTCTGTGGGTTGATGGAAGAACCCGCGTCTTAAAAAAAAAAATTGTGACACCCTATTTTGCGAGTAAGACACATGTATTCAGGGATTTTCCACTACCCCGCGTAGGGCCGAACATGGGCCCCATTCCCAATTTATTTAATGCAAAATCCCTCCTCTTTTCCAAAGAATGAACTCATAAAGTTAACTTGATCAAAAATCTGGTAAAAGCAAAAAACATGACCACGTTTGGAAAACTGAGGGGAAATGAACAAATTTTTAAAAAACTTGGCTAAAACTTTATTATAATTGATGTATATTCTCTGATTTACAGTTCTGAATAATTAAGTAAAAGATCAATTTTATTCATCATGTGTTTATATCTTGAAAAACATCATGCAATAACATTTCCCAAATAAGTGATAAAAAATTAATGTCGTTTAATTCTCAATGCAAAGGGCCTGGGCCCCATTCCCAAAATGAAGTGGAAAATCCCTGATTCTGTATTTTTAAGCGAAACAAATTTTTCGGTTATATCTTATGCTAATATAAATATATGTAAGAATGAAATTTTCGCGAGCAGACCGTTTTATCCAATATTTTGAATGTCTGTTCACAAATACATGTAAATGAAAAAGAACATTACATGCATTTTAATGAAAGTAACTCTTTTTTGTTTGATGTCAAGATATAGTGTCAAATTTTAGAACTACAAAATGCATGCCATATCCAAAGGTTGAAAGGAAGAAAATGGGAATTAATTATCTACTGATTAACAGGAAGAAAATGATCGTTATTATCAGTTTCTAAAGTGATCAGATATCTTACGGAAACACATTTCTATGTGATATGGATAAACCTTTCATATCGGCACAAGTGTGTTTGAATCATTCAAATAGTTAGGAAGATATTTTGATAAATGAAACGCGTGGAATTGATTAAACTCTTGATCGTTGTTATCAAACAGAATTAAAACAAGGGCAAATACATTATTTTGAAAACAGAAACAAGCAAGCATTTATCCTTAATTGGATCAAGGATTAAATCATCACATCATCGCATCCATCATAGGTATTTGTGGAGTTTCCCCCTCTCCGGTTGACACACGCAGGACTCTGATCAATAATTCATGGAAAATTGAATGTTTTCAGAATGATGCTATACTGGGGTATTTGTAAAAAGAAAGCTCGATATGATTCTCCCTTAACACAAAATCGTATTTTACATTGCATGCTCTCTTATACTATATAAAGTAATTACAATTTAGTTTCAACATAATACATGTACATTGATATTAGTTTATGCAGAAAAATCCTCACTATTTTTAGACGCATTCTTACATAATTAGTTTATTCAGGATAAAACTTTGGGCAATACAGCCCATCAGTTGACAAAAATACCATATAATAACATATATTACAAAATTTAAGACTCTCAGTGAGCCTAAATTGGGGGGTGAAACCCCTGGTCAAGTGTTCCTCAGTCCCACAGTTCCACTCATTTATAGTATACAATAATATATATTGAACAAATTAAGTACAATACAATAAGCAGCACAATACATAATTCAAAGTTATAATACAATATATAGCAATGATGTTTTAATGTACAGACATCTGAAAATATAAACCTTACATAGATAGAAATTAGGTTAACCTGATTGATCTTCGTTACGTAATATTAGAGCATAATGAATATATTTCCCTAAACCAACTAAAGTAGATATGCGGTTGGTACCCAACAATTGGATTAATTTAAAAGTACTTGGCGATTTGTAATAATATTCATTTATATATTTTTTTCTTAAATTTAGATATCTAGGGCATTGTAGAATGAAATGGAATTCGTCTTCTATTTCACGTGCACGTGTATTACAAACATCGCATAATCTATCCTCTCTACTTTTGCCTTGGTACCTTCCGCATTCTATGTTAAGATAGTGAGACGAAAGTCTAATGCGGGAAATATGTTTTTTTAAATTACTCTGAAAAGGTTTTGTTAAATAGGATTGCATTTTACAGAAGTCAGATTGGACAATATGTTTATATATAAAGCATTTTGACGAATTATCCATAAATGCAGTGCACTCTTGGAGGTATATATCTAGGATTCTATTTTTATACACGTGCATAAAATGAGCAAAGTTTATTGCTTGCTGTTTTATCCAAAATTCTCCCAGACCCAATCTAAATAGTTCCAGTTTTACATCACGCGCCCAGTTTATACTTATTCCCGACCCATTCTCTGCATCAGATCGCAGGTATTCATAAGAAGATTTTAAAATGCAGTTTTCTGTTTTTAATAATTTACACCAGAATTTCATAATTTTCAATTTCCTTTGTATAATAAGTGGATATCGTCCCAATTCTCTATAAATCATATAATTGCATACATTGCGCCTAACACCGAGGGTAATTTTACAAAAGGATAAATGCAGTCTTTCAATTTCCGGAGATTTATGAAAACCTCAGATTTCGCTTCCATACGAGATAACACTTCCAACATATGTATCAAAGAGTTGACATCGGGTTTCGACGTTGAATTCAAATTTCTGTATATTTAAGGAATAACTGTCTTATTTTTTGGATTCATGATGTGATCAATCGAGTGGCTTGCGTGATAATTTGCATAAACGCCGAAGGCGTTTATGCATAAAATTATCACGCAAGCCAATCGATTGATCATCGTCATGAATCCAAAAAATCTGACAGATATTCCTTATATTTACATGCTCCTGATTCTGCAAATTCCCGTGCTAATAGCCCCGTTTCTGTCTCTATTTGTCCCGCCCCGCACGTGATTTTTTTTAACCGCGCCTATCGATGAACCAGTAGATTTATATAGAAATAAAGTATTTTAACAATTTGTAATTTTATCCCTGACAAAGACATTGGAAATGTAAATATTACGGTTTAAACCAAATAATGCTTTTTGACCTTGTTCAGCTAATTTCTTTTGCGTAACATTGAATTTACCGTTATAATTTAAACATAATCCTAGGTAATTAAAAGAGTCGACAATTTCCAAAATTTCATTGTTATATGTCCATGAAAAATTAACGCATCCTCCTTTTCTGAATACTAAAATTTTGGTTTTTTCGGTGTTAACAGTCAAATTCCACGAGGTAACATATCCGTGTAACGCGTCAAGCATATACTGTAATTCTTCGGGTGAGTTAGCGAATATTACGGTGTCATCTGCGAACATTAAAACAAAAAGATTTAGCTCCCTTAATTCTACGGATGGACATTTGTCGTTTATGAAGTGATTTTCCAAGTCGTTAACATACATATTGAATAGTATTGGTGATAACACTTCCCCCTGGAGCAACCCGGTGTTTACTGGAAATTCTACGGATATCTCTCCAGCATTCTTGACACAAGCGCGCACGTCGACATAAAGCGATCGGATGATTCGAAGGAATTTTCCGGTAATCCCCAATTTAATCAACTTATACCATAATTTTTCTCTGTTAATTGTATCAAATGCCAATAAAACAGCAATATAAACGTTGTTATTCAACTTTTGTGATATTAAACTTTGAAGCGCGAATATCGCATCAGTAGTTGATCGGCCAGTCTGAAATCCAAATTGCGCATCAGTGATAATATTTTCTGAATTGTTCCATTTCATTATTCTTTCGTTAAGAATTGATGTAAAAAGTTTTCCTAGACTACTTGTGATGCTGATACCTCTGTAGTTTCCGGGATCGTCAGTTTTTCCTTTTTTATAAATTGGAATAATAATTGCTTTAGACCACGATGTAGGAAATATACCGGAATTGAAAATTTTGTTGAAAAGGGTCAGTAGAATAGGGAGAATTATGTCACTAAACTCGGAAAAATATTCATTGATCAAATAATCGTTTCCCGCGCTTTTGTACGTACATGTATAATCTCTGTAAAACTGAAAAATTGCAGATCGATTGATCAAAAGATTCATTATAAAAGAGGCACAATCGTTGTTGAAAAGGGGGATGTATTTTTTAAATTACCGGAAAAAACTTTGACAAGCGAAAAAAAGAAAGAAAAGTAAATTGTCCAAACTCCTGTTTCGTCGGGTTGATGGTGGCGGGGAGTTGGGGGTTAGATTCGGACTTTTTTCACAACCAAATTTCATTAGTACATTACCAAATTACCATAATTTAACTATGCCTCTACAAAAATGGGGAAGGGGGGGGGGGGCTTTCAATAAACATTTCCTACAGTAAAAAGTTGTATTTGGAAAAAAAACAGTGCGCCGTCCCGTTACTACGTTTCTATAAAATGTTTTCTTGACATTTTTATCTACAACCCTGTATATTCCATTCATGCAAAATATTCTT